AGGAGACACTCATGAGACTGGAGGGGCCCTGCTTTGCCTGCAACTGCTGTGGAGATGTCAACTTTGAGGTGAGCTCAGAGGGTCGTTGTTTGTGGAGGAAACCGAACTCTGAGTAAATTTCATCCATCAGCCAACAGTGATTTGTTACAGATCCACTCAGATAATCTAAACAGGATTGGTAACAGTCACAGAGATGTTGATGATGATTTTCATTAAGTCAAAGGAATAGTTGATAGTTTTGGAAAACACTTTCTATTCACTTTATTGTAGAGTTTAGTGAAAATTGATACAACTCTTATCTGTCCATAAAATATGAAGGTACACCTCGAAGTCAGGCTACTATCCAGCCTGTGCAATGAAAAAAATAAATCTTCCTATAAGTCTCATTTCCTGGTTTTCCACATGACATCCTGCATACATTACTTGAGAGTTGGCGTGATACAACTACTGGCTGCAATCATTTTGACTGCTATCAGTTTGTTGCAGTTGCATGAAAGACTTGTCGGCAAACATTCACTAACTACTAGCCCAGAGATAGTAAAACTTGAAAACGTGTGACGTAAAACAGAAATGGAGACTGCTCACCCTCAAAGTAAAAGTTGTGCCTTAGCACTGCATCAAACACGATCAGGGAATATGCAAGTGGTTAGTCAACGACTGTCCTCTAGCAATCGATTTCACAATGACTACCATCAACCTCCAGCAACCAACCTAACAACTTGTGAGGGAATGCACATTTTTCTGTCATTACTTTTTCACCCTGACATGTGCATATGTGAAAAAGGCAGAGGTGGGGAGAACAGCATCAACACCTTCATACAGAATAGACTGGGCAGTTAATAATTATAAAAAGAGGAGCTTTGGTGGAGGTTTGTTGCAAAGCAGCTTGCAGGTGAATTGCAATTGTAGGCAGGCTAAAGCAGCTTAAAAAGCAGATCAGGTCAGCTAATCTGCCAGGATTGCAGCAGAGCCTGATTTTTGTCATCTGTTTGCACAAAGATTGTGCTTGAGATTTTCTTTATTACGTAATCTTCTTGTGTCTTGG